TCTTCATTCTCTGCAAAATACTGCAGATGTTAGTAGCCCCAGCCTCCCTGCTTTGCTGGGAGCAGGGGGCCTTTCACAACATCCTATCCTCCAACTCACTGCATGCACATCCCCTCAGGGTGCTTGTCACCGAGAGGATTGTTTCGGTAAAGGACTCCAGTCATCAGCATTCAGTCCCTGCTTTCCAGCAAAGTGACTTCAGGAACCACAGAGGATGTCCCACATCCTGGGACCAGATTCGCTCCCTCAGTTGACTTTGTGCAGCCCTAAAGGACTCAGGTTATTACTCAGTGATTTTGGTTTCCCTTGCAGGACAGAGAAGAAGCAATTCCTTACCTGGTTCTTTCCCCCCCTTGAGCTCTTCTAATCCATCCACAGATTGGATCAGGGGTTTTCCTCTGGTGTTGGCTCCCGGTGTCCCTCGTTTGTCTCCATCTAGAGAGTTAAGCCCTGTAAGAAAGGGCACAGACATAGCCACCTCAAATTCTAGCTATCCTCCCAGTATCACTGCAGCCACTGCCAAAATAAACCAGCTTTTCTAGCAGCCTCTAAATCTCACCCACAGTTGTTTCTTCAAGAGGCAAGCTCCTTGCCAGTCACACCACTACCCCCGCAAAGCACTCAGGGACTCAATTACCTAGTACCAACCACAACCCTGAAATGAGGATCTGCTCAGTCGTCCAAGGAGAAATGCAAAAGCCCAGGAAGAGGAGCTCCTGTCCTGGGTGGCACAGCTGCACCAACCAACAAGTCTGTCAGCCCGTAACTTTGTGACATAGCCTAGTTTTATTTTTTGATGTTGTCCCACCAATCAGTAGTAGCAGGATCTAGACTAAATACATGGCATGAAAAACAATTAAGACTTCACTTATGTCACTTCATTCATTGATGACGGTGATTTAAGTTCTGATGAAACAAGCAGTCAGAACAAGGGAAGGTCCTAAGATTTGGCTCCATACCAAAGGTTTTGGTTTTTGCAAAAATATTTAACATAGGACTATCAAGGTAATGATGTCTACATATCCCTTGGGCAGCCTAAAATGAAAGGTGTTCCAGATACACCTGTGAAAAGCATTACCTGTTAGATCCCTTTGGTACTTAATCAGACATAAATCCAGTTCTAGACAGCATTCCCTCACATCTCCACTTCCACAGACAAGTCAAGGGGCTAATACCCGCAACTTCACACCCCTACAAATTCAGCCAAACCAGCCTCCAAGACATACAGATGAATATGGCAGTCCATTTACCAGAACCTAGTCACTTACTATAGCGCTCGGCTGCAAATAACCATGTGCTCCAAGTGCATTAGTCCAAGTATCTTTCTGCCTTTGTTAGGGAACATCACAACTCAGAGCCAAGGCTCTGGCCATCTTTAGCACGCACGTGAACATCATCGTCTAGAATGGTGACACTACACAAATCCAGAGAGACAACAGGTTTGATAGAAACCTTAACATTTTACTTCAAGATCTGTTTACTGACAAAAAGCTGTTCTTCCCCTCCCCCAAGGAACATGTACTTAAAACGCTCTCTGGAAGTGATTTGCAAGCATTGAGACTAAGTTAAATGATTTATAATTTTTTAGTTAAAAGAACATACACTATTATAAAAGTGCCAACCATGATTCCTGCAGTTTCTTTCCCCATGCAGAGTCACTCCACTCTGCTTATCATTCTTAATTGCTCCAAAAGTAGCATCTTAAGTGATATAAATATGCATGTGATTAAATGTTATCTCCAGTTAAAGTATCAGTATCTGAAGCCGCCTAGATATTAAGAGAAAAAAAAATAACAAGAGAAACAAGTAACTCATATCATACAGGAGTATCTCAGCTCCAATTAAGTGCATGATATTTTTTATACTGAGTAGCCTTTGATTAACAAGACATTTCACTTTTGTGCATGGTAACCAAAAAGGCAGAAACTTTGAAAAACAAACAAAGCAAAAATTTAGTGTTAAAAAAAAAAAAACCAAACAAGCCACAAACCTATACAAGTACAAAGAGGAGCCAGAACTTCACAGTTACTGCTGCCAGTCTCACAGTCAAAGTGGTTTATTATCTCATTGCCAACAGGGACTGAAAATTTGTTCTAGTACACTAGTGGGAAAAAATCTGATAAATATTGGAAACACAATACTGATTTGCAAGTAACATATTTCTTTGATGGCAGCAAAGCAAAGCTGATTGGATTGTTATCTGTGAAGCCCAGAAAATAGCACCATAGTATTATTTAAATAAATTATACAGATATGCAGTGGTATTCCACTACCAAGGCAGGCAGACTGACTGGGATCCAGGACTCCAGAAACTCACTCATTGTTACTCCAAAACAATATCACCATTCAAGCTCTGCCAGGTGGCAGGGTGTCTTGTCTTGTCCAGGGCACAACAGAAGGTTTTGCAACAAATCTTTGACAGTTCTTGGGAAAGTTCAGAGCTGTTGCTTGGTTTGGGGGTTTGTTTTGTTTGTTTAAAGGTAAGTTTACACTTTTTTAAACAGGTAATTTGAAAGGAAGAGAACTGTTCCTGTCTGCAGCACTGTTCCCTCTTCTCAAATGTAGAACAGCGTTTCCCACCAGCAAATCCAAGCCATGTAGTACCCAGTGATTAGTAATACAAGGGGCACGGGCAAACTTGTCCAAAGGCCTTTACAAATGAGATTAAAGAAGAACATTTAACATTAATGAGCTGCAACAAATTCATCAAGAGCCAGAGGGAAGACATTTTACTGCAAGAACTTTATTGCACTACGTTCAAGTGCTGAACCAAGTATTGTGCCTACTGGACATCGGTCACAATTCCGCTCCCCCCATTTGTGTCTACACTGTATGACAGTCTGCACTTTTCACTATTTTTCCTCAATTAAGGTTGCAGAGTCATAGTGTATGATAATTAATGCATTATAAATCAGAGTAAAACTAGGGGGAAGAATGCAAAGTTATACATATAGCATGTAAAATTTTTTTTATTGTTCTTCAGAAGGGCTTGGGGTTTGGTTTTTAATCCAGCTCAACACCTTCCCCTCCAATCTGACTTCCATCATTTGTCAAATCAGCTTTAACTACCAGTATTTCACTTTACTAAAAACATCGATTTTAATTTGCAGAAACAGTTAGAACATTAGGCTTCTAGTTTGTGAGGGGAAGGTAAAGGCCAGAATTCAGCAATTTCAGCATCATCTACCTTCCACATGGACTCAAACATTACCAGATACGTTACTTCCCTAATGTAGGCACTGACATCACAAACACTTTTGCATCTCCTTTATCCATTAAAGAAATCAGAAACGTTACACATCTTAAAGGGAGGAAGGAACTCAGTACAACAATACAGCTTGAGTCAGGGTACAGACCGAGTTTTGTGGAGTGCAGCCATGGACCTCAAACAGGTCTGTTGGCATATCTGTAAAGCGAGGGGCTTGACAAGTACCATTATTTTTTGCTTAATTTTATAAATCCCTTCCAGAAATAGAATTCTAAAAGTCCATTACCTGTGTTCTGAAAATGCTTGCGCAGCTAAGCTGCAGACTAAAAGCAGAAGTCTAGAACAGGGAGAAATCCTGTGAAGGCAGTTCACATCGCCAGCAGCTGAGGTATTGGTAGAAGATGGGTACCAGCCTACACCTACTACAGGCACAGACCAACAAAAGCCTTTGGTGCTCCACAGCAAAAGATCACAGCAGAGTATGACCCTAAACCTGTATTCAAAGCCTTCAATGGCTGAATATTACAGACATAATGTCAAGTTGAAAGCATATGAGGTCACTACTGGGGCAGGGCACTAAGTTAACACGTGTTTGGTAGAAGTAGCCTAGCTGAAACTGCTTATTAGAGGCCTTAAAATGACTTGTCTTGATTAATTCACTGACAACACCAATGGCCCTACAAAGAGAACGTGGTGCCAGTCCACACTGCAAAAATCAGCATATGTACAATCTGCCAATGGTGAATACAATAGGCATGTTGGTGTGTCACTAGAGATTCTCCCTCCAAAAGAGCCTAATAAAAAAATAGCAAGGCAATCAGTGGTTAAACTGAACTGTACGTGAGGGCTAGTCTGGGAAAATACCCATACCAGGCATTTATTCATGGACCGCATTTCTGTGTGCGTACCATCTTTACCTCATATATGACACGAATTAGACCCTCCCCCCTAATCCTGAGTTACTGTATTCAGCAAGCCAGAGAATCTGGACAGCAGCAAAAAGCCTTTTCTTCTTCCTTATGACAGATAAATTAATTTTAAGTCCTCGTCTGAATTGCCCCTTGCTCACCTAGGACACTTTTGAACATCAGTCTTCTGCCAGGATAGATTTTCTATCTAGCAACAGAAAGACAATTAACACTTCAGCCAAATTCTTTGGAAAAATAAGACTGACATACATACACATAAAATCACACACACATGCATACACACACACAGAGTTAAAAGCACTGCCTCCCACCAATCAGAAAAGGCCTTTAGCAGATTCACCAAAGATATTAGGCAGTGAGTCTTCTGTTAAAGCCCACCAGGAAGTTTTTTCACACCTGCAGAGTCTGATCACCATGTAGACATACAACACAGACATCACCCCATCTCTAGAATATGCCCAGGTTGGGCTTAAGGCTGCCAGACTGCTCCCATACAGCAACAAAGGCTCCTCCTTATGTCTCTCTGCCAGGTCCCAGCAAGGTTTTTTTAAAAAAAAGAAAAAAAAAAAAGGCAACTCCATTTAAAAGAGTCCCATAGGAATTAATGTATCAGGCCCTAACTGTGGGGTACTTTCCTCAAGTCAAGAAAATAGTTTCTGCACAAGCCAATGCTCTACTGGTTTTCCTTAGACATAAAATTTACTTTATTTCTTTTCTTAAAAAGTTAAAAATACAGAAGGTTCAGAAACTGATTTTCTCCTTGCAGATGTTCAAACTGCAGCTTAAGGAGAAAACAATCCTTCACTGAAATGTTTCTCTTAATTTTTTTTTTTATTTTTATTTTTTCAATCATCACCACCATTAGGACAGAGGTTGAGGAGCACTGACTCCACCACTAATTTGATGACGTAGTTTGATTCCAGATTCACATTTCCAGGTGCCAAGAGTCCAGAAAACAGCCATGCTAACTTCTGCCTTCGTTTGAGATTTTTTTTTTTTTATTGAACACAGCAGTGACCGTTGGCATCTTTGAAGCGTAATCGCATCTTAGGTCGGTATTTTTCAAGGTAAAGCAGCTGTTTGGAATTGAAAGCTCCCCTCCTTTTCCTAAAACAAAGAGAACGAAGGCTAATATCAATGGAAAAAGTACTGCTTCAATCACTATATACATTCTAAGGCAGATTAGTCCTCATTTCAAAGCTTTTCTGTATCTACAAAAGAGCATTTTGGCTTGGTTCCATATCCATTGACACTCTGAGGAAGGATAAACCAGGCCAGCACATGCAGTTCATCACCTACATGCCAATATTAAAATCAAAATCCAGTTAGCAAATTTCAGCATATTTTCTTGGATTGGGAGAGTTTATTTCCATCGCCAGCAGTAGTCACTGAACAACATCAAGGTCACCCTTTCCTTGCAGATGCATGTGCTACTTATTATATTAGCTAAGTAAGACCATGACATTCAGATACAAATATATAAGAGGTTCTCAGAAAAGAGCTTCTCGGTATAAAGCGTACTGTACCCGGGAAGAGAAAAAAGGAATTTAAGAAAGGAAAAATTCAGAGAAATCTGTTGACAACAATACAGTTTACAAAGATAACTGAAGACCCTGGGAATCCATAAAAGGATGAACTGCTTTTTTGGCAAAGCTCATTCAACATAATCTTACCTGCTGGGCTTCATTTCAAGATCTGATGTTATTATCACTAAACCAGAGTTCTGCAGTCTCACCCTTCACCAGTTTTGTTATTTTCCAGCCAGGGTCATTGCTGACATTTCCTGGGTGGATAACACACCCACAACACCTGTAGGAGTGCTTGTGCTCATCTCCTTGCTGTACAAATTCTGCTTGGGGGCCCAACCTCGCTACATTTTTTTTTTTTTTTTTAAATTAGGAGCAATTAGTCCATGTTCAATTCATCCATGATTTTTACAGCCCCAGCCTAGACATTTTTTCCTCCTAAGTTCAAAATCTTTGAGTCTTAGATCAATGGCTTAATACATAAGCCCACATTTTAAAAAAAATTTAAAAAAAAAAAAGGAGAGATCACCTTTTAATCCTCATCTCTAAAAAGAGGAAAGGGCAAAAGCCTCAGCATTAATGTCAAACTCATGATGCGCATTATTGTCAAGATATACTACTCGAAAACAAAATCTGAAATCTAACAAACTTTGCTGAAGACACATGCTGTTCAAATACAACATAAACGGAGAGATTTCTTGAGAATGGGGAAGTTTAACTTACTGCCTTATAAACTGAACTGCATCTTCGTACTTCATTCCACATTCAATGAGAGCAAGTGCAACCAGTACAGGAGCCCTAAAAGAGAAATCAATATCTAAGGAAGATCTAGAGAAACAATATACTGAACCCCTCAAAATACATCAAATTTATCTATTAACAGATAGCTTAAGTATTTTCTCTTTAAGCATTATCTGCAGAAAGACATTTGCCTGCTGAATACCTAATGTAAAATTTGTTTTAGTAGACAGCTCTGCTTCCAGCACACACATAAAAAAATAAAAATCAATAGCTCCTGAGTGTTTGGGACGTTAAACAATAATTCTAGATTTTTACGCTCTCTCATTTCACTATAACCTAATTTTCTACTTGGATAAAACAAGTGCATAATACCTCTTGCATGCATTCTTCTTATGAGACTGTAGATTTAGCTGTCTGTGAGACAGATCTATGAAGCACTGAACAGATAACTTATTTAGAATTTTTTTTTTGTAATTATATGCTGTACATGGAACTGGGTGTTCCAGGGAAAACAGAGTAAAACTTTCTACTTTGGGGTCCACATTTTGGAAATCAGTTAAATGTAAAGAGCTGACTTTTCAAACAAGCAGAAATCACAATACACACTGACTTTCTCCTGCATTGATGTTCACCCCACTAAACACACACAGTTGCAACAGGCACCTCTGACAGAGTAGTGACAGATTAAACACGTGCTAGCAATTCGACAACTTGTACTCATGGCTAAACAAAAATATAGTTCAAGAGAAACAGCTCTCACTATCACTGCCATGCTGCACCTCCATGAACAGAATTATTCACTTTCCAAAGGAAAAAATTTGAAACTTCAAAAGTCACTTGAACAAAACAAAACAAAAAAGTCCTTTTTTACTATAGTTGAAGTTCAACTCCCTACTACAGGTAGACAGTTCTCCAGATTAAAGCAGAATCTGTAAAGCTCTTGCTTTTCCCTCGGCCTGAAGAAGTCTGAGAACAACAGCAAAAAGGTCATTCCGTAAGGAATAGATACACAACATAAGCTTATGTGACATACAGAAGATGGGAAGCTTCTGATACCCTTTAGCCTGATATTATGCAAGAAACAGGAGAGTTGAAAAATCACTTGAGTTGCAAGTGGCCACCTTCCTAAAGACATTCCTCAGATAAAAATAGAGCAGAAATGGATAAACAAATGTTAATTGCTTTGGGTTTTTGGCTCTTGTGTCTTTAAATACTGGCCGTTTCTCCCTCTACCTCTTCATTTCCCCCATCTTTTCTTCTCTAGAGGTGGACATTTAAGAACTTGACAGACTCCAACTCTGTGCTTACTTATTTCTTTAATCCACCTTTCTTGCCCACTCATTCATATCCTTAAATATTAACAGTCCCATGGTTATTGTAAGAATACTAACACTTAAGCTCCATTTCCTCCTAGCCTATAGGATAAATATAACATTTAGAGATTACATTTGGGAATATGAATGTAGCATTTAGCTCTCCCAAATCAGTCTTTTTTTTATTTTGTCTTCAAAGGAAGTTCTTCCCAAAGAAGGAAGTTACATTTTGAGTGGTGAGGAGACAGACATCAGTGTGCATGTGAGCAAGAAATACAAGCCTAACTCTTCTTGAAACTGAAATGAAGCCACTTTCAAGAAAGCAATTGAACCGGTTTTTCCTAAATGCTTTTTTTATTACCACATGGCTTAATAGTATACCAGCTGAAAACAGGAGGAAATTAAAAAAAACCTACTGTACAGCCTTAGAAATTGTACTATATATGTATATTGCATTTGTCAAAAAGCACAAGAGATTTTATTGTTTTAGCAGGAAGACGTATACTTTCAAATTAATAGCATCTCTAACTGCTTGCATCGTTCATGATTGACAGAAGTGTTCTGAACAATCTCTCCCAAGTTCCTCCTTTCGTCCTTGATCAGAGGTATGAAATTACTTAAAGTTTTTAAGCTGCAATAAATCTCTTGCTTTAATGACACAAACTTGATGCTGCTGCTTTAAAGTGTCATTTGGGAGAAAACAAGAGAAATTGGCATTTACTTAACACCTTCCATGACCTACCTCACAAACTAACTTTAAGTCCAGTATAAAAACAAGACAGTACAATACTAACCTTCCCAACCCTGCAACACAGTGAACAGCGACACAGCATCCAGGCTCTTCACGAAATTTGGTTTTCAACAGGTTTAGCCAGTCGTCAACTATCTGATTCGGGGGTGGTGCTCCATCATCAAATGGCCAGTCCTTTGAAGGAAAAAAACTGCTTTACCTATATGGATTTCAACTCATAATCAACAGCAAGGCAACCATAACTGGGAGAAGGAAAATATTGCATTCAGCAAGAAGTGCATATTACACGAACAGTTCTGTGGGTGTTTTTCTGGTTGCACAGAAGTTTGCAAGTCAATATCATAATGCAACAGTAAATGTTTAACAACCATTTAATTGCACTTTTCAATAAAATTTCAATAAAACTGTACACTAACTCCTTTGTAGTATAGAATTTTTAGAAAAATAGCTGCCCTTGAAATCTCATTTTATTAAAAATATGTAAAAATCAATAGACATTTCAAATAAACATTTGAAAGATGAGAACTCTGTAGACTTTTGCCTGTGGTTGTGTCAACCTCTTAAAATACTATTTGTACTTCAGACTCTGTACAGAGAAGCTACTTCATAACAATTCAAGAGGATCAGAAGAGGAAAAGGTACTTCATAACAACTCAAATGGATCAGCTTGTCCAGCTGCCATGAATCCAATAAGCAAGACAGTTAAAATTACCTGGGTATTTTCAAGTCAAAAAAACCACATTCACAAGCAAAAAGAAGAGTGCTTAGACACAGGCAGTCAACAATGAAGCAGCATTTACAATTACATTTCTGCCTATTAAAGGGGTAGCCAACATTTAAACTACCTAGGTCACATTTAGTATCATCAACATGGCTGTCAATCAAAACTACATGCGAGAAGCTTCCCATTTTCTCGAGGTCACAGCTCTCCCCTGGAACTTGTGCTAAGTGGAGTACTACATGTCCTACATTTCAAGACCAAGCACAATATCACATGCTTTATAGTCTCCTCAGACACAGGGAGTGCTGTAGAAAGAGCACTCCTAGATGCAAGGGAAAAAGCAATACTCAGTAGTTAATTTAGCACTTTTCATTAGATGAATGCAACACATTTTACAAGAGAGACTCATAGCCAGAGTTTTGTATTATTCAACCACCTCTCCAAACGGTAGGGATATTGCTTTGAAAAGAGCCCTCTTCTTCCCCCATTGGCTAGAAACAAGACTTTCATGTAGTATCGTGAAAACAGGTTAACATGAAGTAATATTCTCTGAAGCCTGAAAGAAGCATGCAGAAACTCTGAACAAGTACAACCAAAGGTAAAAATCTGCCAGACTTTTCATTTTGAAATGCACTTATTGCTACCCTAATACTTCCTGAATAGCAAGTACAGCTTAGCACAGACCTCAGCCCAAGAGCACCTCTATAAATGTGTCAGCACTTGAAAAAGCTGCAAGGTAGAAATCTGTCTCAGAACTACAAAACCAAAAAGCTTTAAGTTACTGAAATAACTTTATATGCTATTAATTCAGAAAGATACACAAAGTCTGAAGAGTGCGGAGAACTCCTTCTTTAAAGCAATGGGAAATTAAAAATATCTGGGACAACACAGCAAAATAAAAGGCTATAGAAACAAGATCATAAAGTAAAACTTGTTCTTTCTAATAAAAGGCTTTTATGAGATTTTCCACTCAATCACACACTGCTAGCTGTATTATTTTAGGCCCAGTGTCATCCACTGTCCCAGGAAGAGATGTATGGGCTGCCAAGAGAAGAGGCATTACCCATTGCAAGATGCTTTCTTTTGAAACTGCCTTGCAAAGAACAGGATTTACATGTCAGTTCTGTGTCCTAGTTTAAATTAAATCCTTTCCTTCAGACCAAATACAGCGGCTTACTACATTGCTTTAGCTTACATCTTAACCATCATGTCCACACAACTCTTGTGCTGGCCTGAATTAACCACAATCATCACTTCCCCACAGAGCATCACCTTCTCAGCAATGGTACACCACTGACATTAAATTAGCACTGATAAAACACTGCTGCATGGGACACTGCCCAGAATGAGGAACAAGAATAATTCTGGGACTAGAGGAGTAATTGCAGCAAAGTTTTGCAGGTTTTTTCTCCTGATTACGAGTTCTACCAGCATCACCTCCGAACTCCTGTCAGACAGGAGAGAAAACAAATTGCTAAGCTCCACGACCAAAACACTCATTAATAACCAGGATCATGCACCAAGACTGCACAAACAGAAAATACACCTCTTTTGTACCACCCCGCAGTAGCTGGGAAGGAGGACAGGCAAGAAAGGGTTATTCTTATTTGCCCTTTATCTGAAGCAGCCTTGCTCAGCAGAACAGCTCTGGGTTTGTCAGTAACAACGACTGCAGGATTGGCAATGCAGAACTGAGAAGACCAAGAAGCAGTAACAGGACTTCAAAGTGACAAAGAACCCTTTCTTCAAAACCTGCGTGCAACTCGCACTGAAGTTATGGCAGCAAAACGCTCCCAGAACTGCCTGCATCTGTGTAGCATGAGACCACAGCCACCAGCATGGAACCTTCCTTCCTTTCAATACCAGAGCCCATGGCAATGCAGTAAATATCAGATGGCAATGAAGTCACATCTCTAACACAGGCACTCCCAACTGCCTGTTAGCATTCAGGCAGTGGCCATTCTGGAGGGCACAGAGGGCAAAGAAAGTCTGATCCAGGGATGAACAGTAAATGAAGGACTGATAGAAGCTGAACAATAGAACGTGTCTTAGATCCTTAAGATGAACAAAACTATCGCAGCCTCCTTGGTTGCCAGCCAGTGCAAAAATACTTCCAGAAAAAACTACCAGTTTTTCTGATGTAACATTTCTATGTTAAAAGACCTTACATGTGAACATAACTGTAAGAACTGCAGAAGCCCACAGAAACTAAATCCATCCCCGCCTCCTGTCTCCTGGATTTAATCTCTGTTGATAAACATGCGCACGCAATAGTACTACCTCAAGCATGGAACATCTAATTCTCTACTTTCTCACTATGCCATCTGCCAAAGCAACTCCGTAGCTGCCACATTCTACCCATCTTGCCAGTACATGATCCTGTATCACGGCATGAGAGCAGGCTTTGCTAAAATGCTCTCATTTTCAGGGGTTTCACTATGCTTTTGACCTCAACAGTTTTAAAATAGACACTAATCTCCCTCAGGCTGTGTTTTTAATCTTAATGTTATTTTTGCAAGCAAATATTAGCTTTAAATAGTGACGTGTTATTTTCTCAGCCAGCTGGTAATTCAATACCATTTCTGAACAGCAACAGGACTCTGCTTTGAAAAAGCATGCATTCATAGGAAGAAAAAGCTATACAGGAGGTGGTTATGTTGGTAACTAACTAAGCTTATCTCAAATAGCAAAATGCTATTGCAATACAGTAAATTACTAAGACAACCTCATGACTGGGATCATCAGGATCAGTGATCCCTGTCACCTCCTGCTTTCTGTTACCCTTAACAGTTGCCTGGTGGATTTATGCTCTCTCCTGTTTCACCTTCTGCAGCAGTGGAATACTAAGAACTGGTACGTACCAAATGCAGAGAGGCTTGTTAGCCGAGACAAAAGCGTACAGACACAAGACTCTCACATGTGTTACTCAAAGTGAAAGGCTCTCCAAAAGAATGATGCTTAGCAGAGCTGGCGGAAACACCATTTCCAGTTTTTAGAAAAGCTTCCTCAAAAAACTGCTTTCAGTTCAAACTTAGCCAACACCAAGTTTTTAAAATTTTTTGAGAACCAAAATCCCCAAACTATTTCAGAAGTGCAGGCTCCAGAGCACAGAGCACTCCCCAGCTCCTGCAGCTGCCTCTGGGGCCCCAGCCATGGGCTGGAGAAGGTGGATTTCACTCACAGCTGCAGCAGCCAAGGTCAGCTGGCCTCACAGGGCAGCCACTCTGGCAGAGCTGGACACCTGCAAAACTGTCCTATGTCTTCTACGAAGAACTCCGATCTCTGCTCTGGCAGAGGAACACAGAAATACTCTTAAGCCCCAGCTTAAATCAGGGCTCTGAGGGCTTCTACACCATGAGTTTAATCCTTGCAGTTTCTGGCAACCTTAGGAGTATCGCAGCTAGAGGTTTCACAGCAGCGTGCCTGAAAATGCTGTGACGTCCAAGTCCAAGACAGCTCTAGAGCGAACAAAAATGCTATTCCAGAACACAGCCCTAGGAGCACTGGTAGCCCTGTAATGACTGATTTTTCCAACAACACTGAGGCACACGCGGCTGCCTAGAACTAGAGTAAATGCTTACTAGGGCCAGAAGCCAAGAAACCTGACTGACCTGTACGTGGAGTTTTCACAGATATGCCAGGGTGCAAGTTTTTCTCCTAATGGAAAACTGCAGAAGTTTTCCTCTGACTAAGCCATAAAAATCAAGAGGCAACAGAAGACTGACTACCTGCAACAAGAAGGTAAGATGCAATTTCTGGCCTCACAACAGAGTATTACTCACTCCAGTAAAATAAACTGATTATATCTGACACACTGTAATAATTCAGAAGCATTGCCTGGAAAAATACCGCCTGCAAGCTTAGTATGAGCACACACCTATTAAAAAAACCTCCCCTAAAACACCAAGCAATACTAGACAATCTAGTCAGACAGTCATTGCATAACATTAACTATGAGTAGCAGTTAAGGAATTCCACCTGCTGAACAGGGAAGCCATCAGCAGCCAGGCTCCATTTAGAGGGGAACAGTGATGAGGCCCTGCTACAGCCAGTCCACGGAAGCCTATATCAACGTGTCGGCTAGTCTCAAAAGGTGGCCCTTTTTGAAAGAGCAAGAGAAGGGAGTTCTATCTGCATTCCGAGAAGGTCAACAGTAAAGCCAAGAAGTGCTGTATCTAGAGAAAAGGACCAAACTGAGCTGTATGGACCACAAGGCAAGGCTGAACACTGGATTACTATTGAGCTAGCCACTAAAACGCAATCAAAATACCTTAACAAATCCAGAAATCCAGGAATAGACATTTCTATTCCAACTGAAGCGCTCAGGCAATAGTAATGAATCAGCAAGTACCTTTCACAAAAGTACAGGGAGTTTCTCAAAACCAGCTTTAGCTGATGCAGGGGATCACATTGCTTTTGGCCAATCTGAAACAGTCATAAGCTCTTGCCCAAAACATGAAAGCCATCCCCACCACTTCTAGACACATAATTTTGCTTTTTTAGACAGTTTTAAAGGCAACTCACTAGAACCTGGATTCCTTCTTTTTCAATAGGAGCTTGATCATAAGTGGCATCACAAACTCGCACCAAGGTTGTCACTCCGTACTTCTTCAGCTCCTTTAAGAAAAAGGAAAACATGTGAGCACACTGGCAGAGTGGAATTAAAGAACTTTCACATCAGCTACAAAACTAAACATTTTACACAGAGTCAGTCGTACCGTGACTATTGCACAGCTCCAAGGTGACTACACAGTGAAGGAGCAAGGGCCAACGCAGAAAGGGGGGTTTATGACCTACATTAGGACAAGGGTTACAAGTGACAGGAGTTAAGTGTGAAACAGCTCTGAATTCTTCTTCTCTAGGGAAATGCCAAGGTGGAGAAGAATTGCATATATAAGAGCAAAATTAAAATAGCTGCTTATATTCTCCAAGCAGCTTCTTCTCTTTAAATAGAAGCCTGGAACTGTTTGCTTCAGCCAGTGTTGACATTTTGAGGCAGGGAGGAACAGAACACACACCCCACCATACTCCAGCTTCCTTGTAATGCACTATAAGTAGCACATTGTGCTAGATAAATAATCAGAAGATCAAACAAAAGCTGTTCCAGTTCACTTTGAAGGTTCATACAGCAAGCAGAATTTCCTCTCATATTTGGACTGAATCACTATAACTTCTAACAACTAGCAATAATATCTATTCCAGAGTCAAGACTCCTGAAAAAGGAAGACAATCCACAATAATAGGGAAAAAAAATAGAGAGAGACCAAAAGAACATGGCTTTCAGACAAAATTAACCACTAATATCTGAGCAGATTCATGGTGAAGAGCACACTGCTAAATGATGGAAGTCTGTTAATAGCCACAGTCAGACATCAGTATCAGATGACAGCATCTCTCTGGAATGAAAAAGACCTGCATACACAAGATAAAAAGTCCTCTAGATACAAGATACAAGGGCACAAAGATATAGCAGGTTTGGAGCAAACTGGAATGCAGAAATACACTGTACTACTACTTCTCTGATGATACCATCTGTTACTTTTTCAGAAAACTGAATATTAAATTTTGCTGTATTTAAGATCTTATTGTGTTAGTAATAGCATGATCCACTGCCCATCGTAAGTGACTCTTCCCACAGTTCAACCCAGGCAAATGCCATTTTTCGTGGATAAATTCTGGCATATGAAATCTGACAATTCTGGGATTGGTAGGGCGGTTGGATAACACATCCTGTAAACTGAAGTATTGCACTTAATCCTACTCTAAGAGAGAAGAAAGGTCAGAAACCAGTTACAATTCTGTTAACTATTTTAAAAGCCAAAAGACGAGCAATAGATTGACATATTAGAAGCACTGCATTATTTAATGAAAAATAACACTTAGAATCATAGGACATGCAGTCCTTCAGAAACCAGGACAGGAACGATCGCAAGGGTGTATGTTAGTATTCTAAAATGGAAGCTCATCCAGCCTCTTGCAATTAAAGAAATGCAGGACTTTTTCAAAAGTAATCAGTGGATTCTCTTCTCATACTGTCAAGAGAATGTGAACAATTAATTAAAGATAAAAATGCCTTAAACTTCAAGTAACATGTAACATAGCCAAAGCATTGAGCAACAGGTGTGAGGAATGACTGTTCTGTACTCCTACAGAAACTATGAGCGTATAAGGAAAGAAGGATGATACTTTGACTGCCTTACCTCTATGAACTTGCTGAGGGTTGCATTGGTTGGGTTGTGAGTGATCAGGAAACGCATATTCTCATAAGTAATTTCCACGGGGGCTGGACGGTTCATAATGGCAAATAAAACGTGTAAGGGGCCAAAAAAAAAAAATTTAAAAAAAATCAATAACCTTGGAAACGTTTCACAGCAGAAAACATTAAAAAGACCACTAAAATGCCTGGGATTGATCAGAGCTTGCTTTGACGTGTTTGTTCCTTAAAGAATTCGCTTCTAGAAAAGCAGGTTTGCTTCAGAATCCACTTGAATTCAACTTCAGCCTCAATTACTGCAGGTGGTATCCTTCAGACTCCAAAAATTCTGACTACATGCAAGACTAGGCAGCCTGTTCTACATTTAGGCACTGGTGAGGCAAAAAAGTAAGGGCAGCAGATTTTCTCTCCACTTTGTTTTCTTGATGCTTAGTTTTGCTAGAGTCAGTAAAAGGAATATGCTTCCAATGTTTAGAAGATATCCCATATATTTGAGTGTGTTCACTGTGTCTGGAGTCTTCAAGGCAAAGTAATTATGGCACGTAGAACCCCCTGCACTCAGCTCACTTGTCAGCCAGGATGCTGTGCTGGGCCTGGCAGAAGTCTGCCCTCACACTCAGAATCGCCATAAATGTGCGACGTATATTCCAACAGAACACCTAAAGAGAAGAAAAATACCACGTGATAGGATTTGTTGCTTCTGCTTCCAGAAACACCAACTATTGACCCTCCCAGAAAACTCAAATTGGACTAGATAAAACTATATTTAAAAAACAAACAAAATCAGTCTTCACTGGAGTCCCAATAGCCATAATCCCGAATATTCTTTTGGCACCAAGTATGCCCTAGCCCAGAGACACGCGACTTCTTGTAACTGCTGTTCCTCGCAGCCAGGCACCGGAACGGAGAACAAGGAAACCTTTCTGTGCTCTCTTTGGCCCCTCCCTCCCAACCAGGTGCCCTAGAAGAGGAGAAAATAGCACAAAGCCACGTACACGCTTGAAAGTGTCTGTTGGTAGTCGTACCTGTTTGGCTTAAGTCCAAATATGTAAAAAATATTGTTGGTATGGCTTTATTTTCTGAACAAAATCAGCAGTACAAGTAGAAATAAGAGTATAACTAAACTGCCATATATTTGAGCTTTTGCTAGCACATAAATTTCACCAACATTGTTGTACCACCAAACTCCCAACTGTAGTAGGGAGATACCCTTCAGAAATCAGTCACTTCAAAAGTAACCAAATGGTCATTTAGCGGTAATAAATTTTAGTTATTCTCAGTCTTATCTGTGTTTACAGACTAGGGCATTAAGACAGCAGCAGCTTCCAGTCCTAACACCCAGGATTCAAAATATAGATGTTCCAGCAATAGAAGATGGGACAATGTAATTCTACCATGAAGTTTAGAGGGATGAAAATGGAGCCAACCTAACCTAGCTCAGCTCATTTAAGGCTGAAATACTAAATAAGCAACACGGCTTTTCATTGCATTTAAAAATCTTGAAGCCAAAGAATCACTACCGACACTTCCTTTCTAAGGAAAAAGTTTTAAATCAGTTGAGTAAAATCCAAACTAGCAGCCAGAAGTCACAAACCTGCAACTCAAGCGGGAAGGTCAACGTGGCACACTTAAGTGAACACAATTAGGGAAAAACACACATGCATGGAAGTTCACACCCCAAACTTCTAGTGTGCTCAACATTTTAATGAGATCCTCGCTTTAAAACAGTCAAATTAAGTACTACAAAATTACCTTTTTCACTGACATGAAGTCAAAAATCACCCAAAGAACAGCAATTATTTCCTTAAAGAACAGCTTTCAATGCTAAAAAAAATACATTAATTAGGTTGCCAGAGGCAAGAACAAAGATGTTTTCAATAACCTCCCCCGACCTTAACGCAGTTCTTGCTCTAAGTGACTGAAATACAAATTTCAAAAGTGAATCCTGGAATATTTTATCAGTGTAAAGACTACAGGATTAAGTCTCACCCCAGATGGAAGAGTCCCAGCTAAACACATCATACTCAAGTCCTTACACTTGTCAATTCTTGCACATTTGTCACAACTCTTTCATACATACTACCAAATCTCAAAGCAAAGGATTTGTTAAAATGTATTACAGTCTGCTATAGCGACGATGTACCAGGAACAGAATGACTAAAGTTACAGCATCCACATGTGTCCAACACCTGTAAAACTTGATGCAAGAAAGTCTTTTTTCAGTCAAATACTGGCCTGTTTTTACCCCATTTGAACATACACTCCAGTCATCTGACATGTCCTGGAGAGGGACCTGCAGACTTACATTACAGGAACAATTTCAAAACTAACTTTTGAGGACCTAACAAGGTCATTTAAATAAAAACAGCGGTCAGCAGATCTTGGCATAGGAGATCAAAACTTGGATCCAGAGTACCAGAGTCTTACAGCATTACAAAGTACACTGTCACGAGGGGAAGAGCTATTGCATCACATTTAAACAAATCCTTTAAACATTTTTCTTTTCAGCACCAATAATTTGGTTGGAAGAGCCTCATCCAGTGCTATTTGCACTGTGAGTTGTATCAAATCAGGTCATTATGGTTACACTTCTCCTCCCTCAAGCAAATCAAAGAGGGAATTTCAACCCAATTATTTTAAAAGTCTTTTGTAAAAACGATTTACTAAGTCATTAAGAAAGGACACATGGAGATGACATGTTCCACTAAATTAAGTATGGCAGGGGAGTCACCAATTCAAGTCCTACTCTCAGATCTGCAGCTGCTCATGGTCTGACCTTGGCCAAGCCACTTTCAGTAGCTCAGCTCATCTGCAGAACAGGAATGACACCATCTTACCTTCCCCAAAGGAATATTACTGAAGCATTTAATTAGCTAATAGCTAAGGAGTGATTAAAAATGTAAAGCACTGTATTTAAGTCTGAAAAATTATTTCCAGAAGGATAAGAAGTTTATGTAGCACACAACCCTATTTTTAAGAGTTTGGCTAGACACATATATCCCTTCCTGCCATGACTTTCAACTGCTAACAGTTAAGCTGAAGTTTAAAAAGAAAAACCAGGCTTCTAATTAAGAAAATGAAAAACAGGAAAAACCCTATTGTCTACAACCTCTGATCTCCCCAAGTAAATACATTAAAATGTCTTCCTCCCCATCTTAGTAAGCAAATTTGCACTTCAAAACCCCAAGAGAACTGAGCACTATCAAACTGATGACAATAAATGGTAACCAGGTCTATGCACAACATAAAACAAGGAATAATTTTTCAGCCAATTAACCTTCAGCTTTTTCTACGTAGAAAGTGAGATAACACATGGAGAGAAACCAAAAAATTACAACATGTTTTATGTGGCTGGCCTCAAAGGGAGCAGCAGTATCCAACACGTCAACGCTACGAATGAGGTGCCATCAGGAACCAGAGGAGAAAAAGCAGACAGCAGGACAAACAAGCCAAGCAATAACCATTCATGCATCTGAAAAGAACTAGATATGCTTGGGAGTCAGTTCCTGATGTTGTTTAACTTAATTATCAGAGAATAAACATCAATCAAGATGCCTATCTATACAGCCAAGTTTAGTGAGCTGTGACAGTCTCTGCACCTACAGACAGGACTAATTTAAGTTACAACTAACAGCACTGTGAGCTCCCCACCTCCTTCACTCACACAGCCATACACGCAAGAGAGCTTGATAAAGCCTAATGAGGCCAATTGGAGAAGAATGTCTTTCAAAATGCTATGAACGTGCAAGAATATGCTTAAAAGTAAGCAAGGGGCAGCTGTATTAACTAGCATAAATAAATCAGGGTGATTAACTAATTGAGAGGACAGTTAAATGAATTCCTAACTCGATAGAAGCTTCACTTGAGATTGCCTTAAGTAAAAATCCAACACACCTACAATATTCATCTCCAGTGGCTGCCTCGTCTGTCATTGCATTGACTCCTAAATTAGTTGCTTCAATAGGGCAAGTCGCTTGCGCTTCTGTATTGAGCCTATACAAGTTCAGGGAGACAGGTTTAATGAAAAACAAGTAATAACTTCGTAAGGAATTCCTAGTTCCACCATCTCCTTCAAAACACGCCCGTAAAAGCGCTGCCTTAGCTACACTGAGACAGCGAAACAGCTTACAACAGCTGCAGCTTCCAGAGATTGCAAAACACGGATACCTTTGGAAAGGTCACTTGGATCACCTTTCAAAATAACCCAGTGCACAGGATGCACAGCAAAGCCCGCTAATTTGTCAGTCGGTATTAAAAGAATACTTCAGTGTTTTGAAGACTAGTATTTTCAAACCATCTCAACTGATTTTGTTCCTGTAAGTGGAAATCCACATTCGATGTTAACGAAGTTAGGTCATGAGCTGCTAATTTTCCTCTTCTATAAAACCTCATTCTCATGGTTCACATTTACACACGTGAAATCAGTATCTCGGAGCACTGATGGTGTACAACTTGATCCCATAAAAATTGCCATCCTGACACAACACTGCAGCCCAGCCAGGCTTTTCCTGACACTCTGCATACACCACATTTCACTTCCCCTTCCTGCATTGCCCTGCTAAGTGACCCACATTCTATCCATACACTATCAAAATGTCCTGTTTTGTCTGGAGCACAACGTGCTTTTCAAGTGAAAGAATTCACCAAGACCTCCAAAATGAGCCTTAAAACAGTGAAAACACACGTTAGCAAGAACCAAAGCAACCATCTTCTCTAAAACATACTCTCCTAGTATACAGAGAAAAGAAACTCTGGAACTAACATTCTTGGAAAAAATTCTTGAACGCTCTCTGAAGGAAGCCTGCTCAGAATGACACGTGCCTAGAGAGGGGTGAGGTCAAAAATTTTACTGTTCCACCCTATCCACCCCCGCCGCAGAGCTCCCTCCCAGCCTGCTGACAAGTTCTGCGGGTGACTCATTCGTTTCCTTTTGCACTAACCCAGTCGCTCCGTCCGAGGCTATAAAACCCACGGCAGCAGATAGAGATCTGCCTTAGCAAGAAAAAAAAAAGTCCAGATTAAAGAAGTCTCAACTTAAAAGCGACACATCAGGAAACAGCAAGCATAGTCAAACATACCATACAAGACTACTCAGCAAGAGAACAATCCTGCAGCAAAACTTAAAATTGATTACTACACAAAAAATTTTAGCAGCTCTCCCTAAATTTGGGTGAGGTCAAACCACTATATCCAACGCAGGCATCGATGCACAGAGATCATCATCCTGGCAAGCTCAGCAGTGGGAAGTGATTAGCTACAGCGTTAGCTCTTTCAGAAAGAATTGATAGGCATGCATGCTTTATGCTTAAGATCTTTTCTTTCCTGTGAAATAGAACCTGCTTCATAGTTATAAATGCTGTTCCGACACAGGATTTTTTTGAACACCTTCCCCACCCACCATTTAGTTTTTAAAAGCCCTTCAGAGGACACATTTGAATGATATTTACATACCATGCCCAAAAAGTTTAAAGTTACTAAAAGTGTTTGAAGTCAAAACCAAAAGGCCCCACTAAGAAAAAGAAATTTAAGCTATTATCCTGCTTAAGTCACAGAATTATATTTAAGTAAAATAAAAAATTACTTTAGACAACAGTTCATGAGTATGTGACACTAATAACCCATTCCTAAAAATCAGAATGCTGAGTTGTCTAAGCTGTATCAGCTCTTGGTCTTTGAAAAAACAATCCTGCTAGACCATCAGTTCCCCCAACAACTCGGGCTAAATATTCTCAGACTTTAAGATGAAGTATAAAAAAAAAACCAAACAAAAAACACCAAAAACCCATTAACAAGTCAAGCACGACTTAAAAGCAATTTCAAATCAGACAGCAACAGGGATATTACTCTGTGAAGTTACAGAGTTGAATTACTTGCATCTTACTCATCTCACTTATTTGAATTTGCCATATACCTCTGCCGGAAAAATGACTTAGTGGAGAGTTGGCTCCTTTTCCATGCTCCTGCAGCAGTTAAATTCAGTCTGACAACTGAAACTGAAGCTTACTGATAAGTTTCACTGCACATCCCTGAAGCCTCAATTGTTAGAATCCACCATCCATTATTTCCAGCAGAGCTAGACTTTCAGTGTATGAGACCAAAAAGAATTTAACTTTTTAGTACAGAACAGAGGGAAACAAGGGGTAACAAAAAGGTACACGTAACAGTGACCTGAATAGAGACAGCAACCCAGCATCTCAAGTGTTACAACTGAAAAAAGGATTAAGGGATTTAAGACTCCTTTACCCCTTCACAATTAGCAAAATGAGCCACAAAAAGATACCAAAGTCAACAGCCACTATAAAGGTACTTTATACTCTCTTCTGATATGCATCAGCCAGATACTGGCCTAAACAGGTGCCAGCCTGATCTAGCACTGCAATTCACATGTGTCAAAAAGATAACTTCTAGCCCAGATTTTCAAGCCATGAGGTCTATTTTTCAATGTTTAGATAGAGCTCTTTTAAATCTCCAAGTCTTTAACAGGCAAAGCAGCTGTCAAACTAATCCAGATACAACAGACAACACAGAGCTCCTCTCTGCTGGTTCAGTAATGGTGCATCACTGACAACATGTTTTCTCCTCCAAAGACATTATCAAAATACACAACCTACATCATTTACTGTAGTGCAAGCAAATAATTTTGTATCTCAAGAGCTACATTTTCAGCTGTGGATGGTCCACCTTAAAGCGAGAACAGAAATGTGCCTTTCCATGAGCCATGCATCGCCCAGCTCTCCCCAGGGCCGCACATCAGCGCTCTCCCTCCCAGGCCTCACAACAGTTAACCAACACAGCATTCCACCACGGGGCAAAGTCCAGCGGCAGGAGCGAGGAAGCCAGCTGCGATCACAGTTCAGCTCCGCTCTGATAGAGGAAGAACATTTGAGTACTGCTGTGTGGAAGAGAATGATGAGTATTTGCAGGTAATTAAACTTGAAGTCAATCATCTATGTTTATGAGAGATGTTCGTAAAAACATCACTACCAGACTCTGTAAGAAGGCTGACATTCCTGGCTGCGCATCCATACGTACGCAGATACATACTCCTACCTTAACTCTGACTGATCTTTTCTTTCCAACAGTTGAGTTACTTAAATTTAAGTATTTCTACATGTTGAGTCATAAGGAGATAGAGTTTTCTGGCTGTTGCTAGCAGTGGGTTTATCTTTTTTCTTCTTTAAATACTAACTGCAGTTCTGAGTCAGAACCTGACGGGTTCATTTTGGGAGTTTTGAAGCAAGTTTCCATTTATACAGTAGCCTTTAAAAGCCAACTTTCTGCCTTACTCCTCCTCACACTGAAACCAACAAGCACACAGCTGCCCCGAGAGAAAAAGCAGATTGTGACTAATCACACCAAGGAACCACGAGGAACCATCATTGCAACTGAGTGGAGGCCACTTCTATGATCATCCCCATACCGTAACACCTCCCAACCTGCAACCTCACCTGTGCTCCAAATCCCAAACCTCCAGCTCTCAGTAACTAGGGCTCCTCACCCACCAAAGCATGCCCTAAGCAGCAAACAACAGCCATTCCCAGTAACTACACCACTCCCTGTCTCAGGCCTTCCTGCAGGTCACTCTTAGCACCCTCAGCAACACTAGTACTTTCTTTAGCCGCTGCCCTGGCCAGGCCAGACTCCATCAACTTCCCCCCTTTCAGCCCAGGCAGCTCCAAATCCCACAGGGCAGCCCTCTAACTACACAAACTGGCCGGCATTCACAACCCTGCCCCCACTCAAACCCCAGGAAAACCACCACATCCTGGACACCCTTCCTTTCCAGCTCCACATGCCCCCCTCCAGCCTGAAAAAGATTCCCCCCACAACATTGCTCCCAGCCTTCCACCTCCATTTTCCAGCCCAGATCCCAGAAAAATTCTTTACCCTTTACAGACCAGCACCAGGCCTGACACAGGGCAGGCCCCTCTTCACCCAGAACAACTCTCCCATCCTTTCTCAGACTCTTCCCCCATCTGTACAGACACACAGGAATAAGTAACACCTCCTCCCCTCCAACAAACCTCTCCAAATGCCCTCCTATACCAGGTACAAGACCCCCCCCCCCCATTCACACACACCAACCCTTCTGCAGCCTCCTCATCCTCCCACTGTTGCAATCCTACAGGCAATGACCTCCCCTTCTGAACACCACCCCCCCCAAGCCCAGGTACAAGGCAGACTACCCCCACTAAACTATCCCTTTGGAGTCCACTCATCCCAGCCCCACAGCTGAGGAGAGACCCACACAAACCAGCCATACAAACCGGTGGGGTGGGCACTGTAAGTCAGCCCCATCCCACAGATGAGGGGAGGACCCTCCAAGCCAGCCTTGCACATAGAAGGGACATCCCACAAAGCAGCCCAACACTGCAGACAAGGGCTACCACCCTAAAACCAGCCTTACCGGCCATAGGGGTCCCTCATACCAGTCCAACCCACAAGCAGGGACACCCCCCCCCCGCCAAAACCAAAATAGAGTAGGGACGCATAGGCTAACAAGCTGCCCCCAAGGCTGCTCCAAAGGCCGAGGGAGCCCCCAGGGCCCAGAAGGATTCCCCAAACAATCCCCACAGGTCAGGAAATCCCCCCAGACCAGGAAGGGCAACCAGAACCGGCCCCTCAGACCAAAGAGAGCCTCCTAGACCAGCAAAGACCCCTCCCAAACTAGACCCGCAGCCCAGCCGGTACCCCCAAAGCACAAAAGACCCCTGCGAATCAGCCGCGGGGGCCAAAGGAGACTCCCCAGGCCAGGGAAGCCCCCCCCCCGGACCAGCCCCACAGGCTGGGGATCCTCTCAAAACCTCCCAAGGAGCCGGTGGCGGGGGTCCCACAGGCCGCCCCGGAGCCACTACACCCCCCCCACCCCACAACCCAGGCCCGCCCCGGGGCGGGGGCTCCAGCCTCCCGCCGTCCCTCCTCACCCGAATTCCCCCCCCTCCCCCCCGCGGCTCCCCTCACCCTGGGCATTGAGCGCGTCGGCGTTCCTTCCGAGCGGGCCCGGCGCCTCCCACACACCGGGCCGGGGAAGGAGCGAGAAGGAGCGGGAGGGGGCGCGGCGGCAGGCCCGGCCCGGCC